CCCCCCCCCAAAGCAGTTTTCAATGGATAGTGGTGGTGTCTAGTAGATGTTGTACGTTTCTTTGGAGAATGAAGATGTATTTTTTGCTACACGCACGGAGGTCGAAAATGCAGCACTGCTGTTGCTGCGAGTTACGTACACATACGGACGCAAATTTCGTAGGAGGGGCATGGTTATCCTTATTTTTGTGTCGACCGCGTCTTGTTGTTAGCCTTAATTCCTTAGCTTGTCACTGCTGTCGTAGGATGCCCTTGTCGTACAGCAGCGTTACATGTGTTTCTTGCGCCTAGGGCCCTTCTTTTTTCTCGCCAAGGTCTTGTTCTTCACCAACAGCCGACGATACGAACAAATTACTGAATCATGCACCGCATCGCAGCCCCCTTTCTAATTTTTTTTTTTTTTCTTCGTTGGGGACGCACAGGAATTGGTGCAACACGACCTGCCGTACAATCTCGGAGAGAAGACGCGCTACCGAGGGGCTTCGGGCATACAACCGTACGTGGCCTACCTGTTGAAGTGCGTGCTAATCCCGGAGCTGAGGTTCGCTGATGCCGGAGAGAGGTGGAGAGTGGCGGCGAGAGTGCTCCAGGTGACTGAGGAGGGGAGGGGGAGAGAAGTGTCGAAAAAAAAATGTCTCGTGTTCCCCGCAGGGCGTGCGAAGCGCGAGAGAGAGATAGCGAGAGGGGGGAGAGTATGGGACGGTGATGTCACGCCGTTATCGTAACATGAACTCGTATGGTCCAAGAAAGCGGATGGAGCAAATGCAACTCTTACCCCACACAAATATCCCGTCCTGACTAAAACATCACTCTCTCTTCCGCCCCCCCCCCCCCCCCCCCCCCCCCCCCCCCCNGCTTAGGTGATGCTGACTCTGCTGAGGAGGTACCCGCTGGCAGGGGAAGGCGGCGGCGTCAACCCGGGGCCTTCGTCGATGGCTACCCCGGAAGACGAGGAGGCGTGTAGATTGGACTTCGACCCCAGGGCTCCCTCCTCGTCTTCTTCCTCCTCGCAGGTCAGACCTTTACTTTTGTTATTTTATTGCTCTGTAATATGTACTACACAGGTCCGGCTTTCAGTTTTTAATCGCTGTATTACGCAGGTTAGACTTACTGTAATGTCGTTTTCTGCAGCACTGTATGTTTGCATGCGAACGATGTGTGTCCACGAAAGGCTGTTGAAAGCGGAAGTTGCTGCTCGTGGAAATATGTTTTTTCTGTGTATCTCACGATAACGAGTACAACCCATGCCTCTCGTGTACCGTAGGCACTCTTGTCGTCTTTGGTTTCTGGTTGCACCAGCCAAAACACTTTATTAAGGTCGATCCCCGCCGAATCGACTGGCGTGGGTTTTCTGCTTCGTACGTTGACAGCCCCGGGGCACTTTCGCAATGTTCATTTCGTGCATTGATGCTATCAGTGGTGGGTATTTTCACACGTGGGGCCTCCTTCTCGCAGCTGCTGGGTGTGGGAGGCTGGCTCCCAGAAGCGTCCTGGCTCCTCTCGGTAATTTTATCTCTCTGCTGCCCTTGGTTCTGCCCCCACTCCCACCCCCACCTTGCCGTCGATGGATGTCGCCTTGGCTGCGTTTGTTCGGCCAGCAGCGGTACAAATCACCCGGGTACTACATCCTCAGGGAGGTGAGTCAAGAGTATGAATAGTATTCACGTCGAGCCGAGGCAAGAAAAAAATATGGTAGTTTGGATCGATGACGTCGTCACTCAACCGCCGTGGGAAGAGTTGAGAATTGCATCCTTGCGAGTACGAACTGCTTAACAGTAGTCGATACCCGTATTGGGTAGGCGACCAACAGGTTCTTGGCACCGCAGGTGTACGGCTGTAGCAGACTTCTATTGTGTTCGTGAGCGCTCGGATGCCATGGAGCTCTTGACTAACCCACGACACCCGGGCCACAGAAAACCGTGTACCATGACATAGGTTCTGCGTTGTAGATGCCTTCGCTGGGGATCGATTTTCTCGGGGGGGGGGGGGGG